GATATATGCCATTCCATATTGAGAGAAATGGAACTTCTTGTACAAATATTAATCAGAAAACTAATTGACCAGGTAATTATTTAAAATATGATTTTTTGACTTCTTATTTTTACTTTTTATATATGTATAATTTTACATTAATATATATTTATTTATATGTTATGAAGACAAATTAATTCAATACTAATTTTTCTTACTTTTCTTGAACAATATTATAATATTTTTTTTTAATTCATTTATATTATTTTTAAGTAAAAAAGAACATAATATATATTTTTTACTGTTTTAAATAATGATTTTAAAATTATATTATTATTATCATAAATTCATTAAAAATTTAGCAGATAATATTAACAATAAAGATAACAAACTTCAAAAGAAATATTCTTAATTGCTTAATTTAAAAATATTATCATTAATAGAAATAAAATATTAATATTTCATGGAATAATTTTATTTGTTTCGATATTGAATCCAATATATTATTATTTAATATTTATTTCCAATTTTTATCCCTCAAGATTGATAAATTGATTCATCGATGGTTATTGGTTTCTCATTCGACGATTGACAAGGGACGCAGAAATTTTGTGATTTATTTCGCCGAGAAGTGTCTTGTCGTTAATACCCTTTCGAATCTTGCCCGCCTATAAATTTCTCTTGGGACTGGAATTCTCTCTAACCCTTATTATATATATGATCTATATATATTAGTTTGCGCAATTAAAACAACTTATCCGAGCAAATTATATTTAGAACAAATTAAATAAAGAAATAATATTATAATTAATATAAATAATCAATTTCTAAAATTATTATAATAAAATAATAAATATAAAATTCTTAAAACAATATAATATAAATAATAAACAAATTTTCTATAATTATTAAATAAATTCATTTTTATTTAATTAACTAAAAAAAAAGTAGAAAAACATTAAATGAAAAAAAAATAAAATAAATTCATAATTGTGAAAAAAATAAAATAATTAAATTAAAATAATATTTATTATATTATATATTTATTATATTATAGTAAAATATTGTAATAAAATATTATGTATTATATAACTATATATCTATTTGCGTAATATATACAGCTATGTTTGATAATATGAGAAAATATGTTATTGGTTTCAATATCTTTGCCAACGATGTACAAAGATAAATTTCAAGGAAACGTTGGAATATATAAAACATAAAATGCTTTGATTAAAATATTGTTTGAGTTTCTTTGAAGATGTACTTCAACTTCAATGATATTCAAAAGAATTATTGATTTTTCAAAATCAAGTGCTGTAAATCAATGCTTGAATAAATTGAATAAGTTGAATAAATAGTTATAAAATGTAAAATTTTATAACTATCAAATATTAAAACATGAAATTTTTTATTTCGATTTTAATATTATTTATTTCGATTTAAAAATTGTAAATTAGAATTCAAAATTAAAAAAAAACAGTAAATTATATGTATATTATAAATATCATGATTTTCAAGATGCTAAATATTAATTTATTCTGATAAAATAAATTTCTAAATAAAATTTCTTGATTCAAGTTCTGAAATTATAATTTTAAAAATAATCTCTTCCAAAAAAAAGGAAAAAAAAAATAATAATAATAATGATTTTAAAAGAAATATAAAATAATAAAATAATAAAATAAAGCTAAGATATAAATGCATTATAAAATTGATTTTATAATATCATAATATAAAAGATTTCCTAATAATAACAATTTTCAAGAAAATCGATCTTTTAACGATATTAAGTCAAGTTTATCATACTTAACGCGATTCATTTACGAAATTATTTAGTTATACTGATGTTGTAACACGTGTTATTATGAATTCAAACCTAGTATTTGTCAGGATTACTGTGAACAGGGATGAATACAGACATTGATGAGAAATTCGTGCAAATTCGTACGTGAGAGATTAATTAATGTAACAAGATATCTTGCTGATGTAATGCGTTGGATTTTTGAAGAAATCTACTACATGACACAAATCAACTTGAATGCAATTTACCATGGTGTATAATTAAGAAAGCATGGTGTCCTTCATTGCATCGCAAACGCGCAACATCCGGCAAATGTAATTGACTAATGTTTACATTGAGATATCTGCGTATCTTTTTCTTCGCGCCAAGAAATTGTTTCTACGCGCATGCGCAATTTTGCTTTTAACTAAGGGAATTTTAATTCCTTGAGTAATTTTTTTATTTCTTAATTTTTGTTACATTGTCTTACTTATATTTGTCTTATACTATTACAATTTTTTGTTAATATTTACTTCAATTGTTTAATTATAATTTTTTCTTATTTTATACTTATAGTTTTAATTAATATAATATAAATCGATATTTTAATTTAATTTCTTGAATATTTCTTGAATAAAAGATTTATATTTAATATAAAATATTTTAGAGTGTATATGTACTTTATTAAAATATTTCATATTTATTTATACTTTTTGTTAAAATATCATTTCAATTATTAAAAATCATACAAAGATATTTTATTAGAAATAACTTGTTTCCCTATATGCATTAATATAGAAGATTACTTAACAATTGTAAATATTTGTCTGTTACATGATAAATAATTCATAAATCAGAAGATCTAAATTGATAGGGAGCACATATTTATCTTCCTTTCTCATTTTCTCTTTATCTGATAAAATCAGATTATACCAAATAGATAATGAATATGATCCTTTATGATTTTAATTGGATTCAAATATTCATATTAATCTTTCGAGAAAATAATGTAAATTTTCTATTCGTACATTATTGAAAATATCATTGGTATTATTTTTCATTGCATTGTTTTCCATCTAAAAATAAAAATACTTGATAAATTAATAATCAATAGAAAGAGATCAACGAAACTTGAAAAATTATTATAAATTATAATAATAATTATAATTATTATAATAATATATAATAATTTATTATAATGACATTATTCGATATTTTTTAAAAACATATATAAATAATATTTAAATAAAATATCACAATATTCTCATATAAGATATTTTTTTAAAAATAACAAAATTTTTCAATTTTGCTTTTCACTTTTTTCCACTTTTTTTCAGAACACATCAATTATGTTCCGCATATCGCTATTCATTAAATATTGCGTTAAATATTGCGTTAAATATTATCTCTTTGAAAATAACAAAATTGACAAAACATTTCGATTGGCTAATAAAGCGGACAGAGGTAAATGGAATGTGCTTGGATTCCTAATACGGAATTCCATTTAACATGTGTCTTCTTCTTTTGTTGCCACTTTGTAACACAGAGGATCGTTTCGAAATGCGTCTCGAAGAAATAAGATCCCACGAACGCTCTTTCCTTGCGTTTTAATCGATTGCAAATGTTGAAGGATCGAGAAAGACAGAGAAAATCACAAAATTATGAATATATGATAATATCATAATTTCTTAAATCGAATATCTTAATATACAAATTTTTTTTTTAGACGAAAATTGACAAAATGACAATGATAAAAATAAAGTAAAATGAATTAGTTATGTTTGAAACTTTATGTTTGAAACTTTAAATTTTGTAATAAATAAATAATATTTTGAATTTATAAACTTATTATTTATTCTAAATTGGAAATTGTTTAGAATATAGAATATAGAGTATAGAGAAGTTTTATAAATCGTATGATATATATTCTACATTAATTATTAATATAAAATATATAAAATATTATTATACAAATCATTAATTAATTAGCAGAATTAATCTATTACATTAATCTATTACAAAAGTTATGACACATTAGATTTAATAAAAAAATCTATAATTAGAAAGATTTTATAAGTTATAAATATAAAAATAATAAATTTAATAATAAACCAAAAAAATTCTGTTTCATCATGAGAGTTTAAGTCAATCGACTTTATGTACAATAAAAAATGTCATTAGAAATTATAAAAATATACTTTGAAATTATTTTTTTAAAATATTTTTAAAAAGAGGATGTATATATATACTAATAGCATTTTATCCCAATATATTAATAACTAAAAGAAATAAAAAAGCATTTAAAAAAATGATATTAAATAAAAATTGGAGAAGATACAAAAAACAAAATAAAATTATAATTCATAGAGAGAAAAATTTATGTTCTCCATTCTAATAAGAAATGATTGGATAAAAAAGAAATGAAATTTAATTTAATAACTTTTTTTTTCGAGATTAAATTCTACAATTTTTTAGATTATAATGGAAACTCTCCATGTTTAATTCTTTTCGTTATTCTGCACATAATCAATGAAAAATTTTTAGGGAGATCAGATATATGCAACGTATAGTATTAAATCCTTTTTTCGATATCCTATCTTAATAGTAAATTGAAATATAGATTTCTTTTTCTATAGAAATATTTGAAACTATTCTAATGATTCTCGTCTTAACCCATCAGTGCATTTTATTATTAAGCTTTGAAAATTCGATTTTAAAAGCTTCAGGATTAAGTTTGATCACGTTTGAATCATACTATGCAATTACGCATATCTATTGTTTCAATAGAAGTTTTTTTCTGTCTTTTCACTACTATTTTCTTTCTTTTCTTTTCTTTTTTTTTTCTTAATTAATTTCATTTAAATTCATTAATACATTTAAAATCATAAGATAATCATAAGAATGCATGTATTGATTTATTAATCCTTTAGAGAGTTTGATATTTAAAAAAAAACAATAAAAAAAAATAAATATTTGCAATTCGATAGATATATTTTTAAAAAAGATATACATATACATATTTATTCTTGTTACAATACAAAAATTTTTATTTATATTATTAGTATATAATACTATAATGTTATAATAATGATAGAATTGGTTCAAAATTAAAAAGTTAATACGATATCGATTTATCGATCTTGTTCATTTTCACTGATTTTTATTAAAAAAACAAGAAATAAAAAATTTCTATATTATAAAATATAAAAGAATATGAAAATAATTATGTAATATTTTTTTATTAACAAAATTATATAATTTCGTGTGTAATAAGTGCTACAATGAAAATAAAATTAGCTATGTTATCAAAACGCGTGTGCAAAGGAATCGAGGGAAAAAGAAGCTTGAGCATGCGCAATAAAGACAACGCGTTCGAGAATCGTGGCGGGCCAAGCTATGTTCATTCAGTTTGCCGGTACTATTTGCTCGCTGCGGTTGTCGTGATTTTGGAAATGTATTCACTTCGAATGGTTGGCTGTCACGTGTTATTCGTATCCATCAGAATTTCCAATTTCGCGATAGTTTAAGTCGCAATAACAGTAATAACGGTTTCACATGTTTCGAAACGCAACGTGATCGTAATTGATGAACGTTTACGAAGTATCGTGTCAGAGAAGTCGTTTAGATCTATGAATACAACACAGATCGAATTATTCATGTGAAATATACGTATAAGATTAAATGAAGTTCAGTAACGTACTGGTAGAGACGAGTGAAAATATTTATGAGGAAATTTGTGAAGTTTTACGAAGATTTAAAATAATCATTGAACTGTGTGTTCGATTTCACAGTCAGTTGTGTTTTTCCTTCTCAATATATATTATTGCGGAAATTGTGGTTATGGGTAAGAGAATGTAAAGCCAATGAAAAAATTTATTTAATTTAATAAAATGTATAATTGACATATTGATCAATTCTTTTAAAGTTATTTCGGTTACGATTTAGTTCTAGAGAATAGAAAGCAATGGAACATTGCAGTACATAGATTTTACAGTACATACTATATCAATAAGTAATAATCATAATCATTTGTTATTCAAACTGATTACATCATTTAATTCTTTAATTAATATCGAGATTTAAATAAAAAGTTATTTAAAATATTGTAGATTAAAGTTATTGTAGATAAAAGTTAATTCGTTACTTTTTCTTTTTTGATCATAAAGTGAAAATATCGAAAGTTTGTCATGATTTCTTTTTTTTAAGCAAAACCTCGTCATTAAATACTTTCCAGTCAACGGGCAGATTATTATGAGAAATATAATTATATAAAAAAATTAAAAGCAAAGAAAGTTCCGAAGTGAATTCATTCGTGTTGTTTGCAAAATCGAAAAGCACAGTCATTAGTGATACTAAATAGATAATTATCATAAATAATGAAATAGATTTTGAGATCGATTGAGTTTTTGTTCCGTTTATTGTTAAATTAAATCATTATAATTGAAATAATCGAAAAATTTTCAAAAAGAAATTAATTATACAATTTTAATTAATAATCATATCATTTTATAGGTTATATGTGTAGAATGAAAAGTTCTACACATAAAAATAAAATCCCAATAATTTCCGTTTTACTTTAAACTGAAATTATAGTTTAATCGTTATCATTTTATTCTTTAAAAAATTGAAATTTCAATGTTTGTTTAAATTTAAGTAAAATCTGAATGATCTTCAATTTAGCAGAAAAAAAACAGAATTTATTTACAATATGATTGAAAATTTTTTCAAAAAATTTTTTAAAAAATGTAGAATTTTATTTTAAATTTTATTTTCAAAATCAAAACATGAATAATTATTATTTTCATGATAGTATATTAGAATATAAAACTCATTTTTGAAAATATTAATAGTGTCAAATATTATTTTTATATATCTTTGTTTTTCTTTTATTTTATTCTATTTTCATCAAATAAGATAGTTAATATTAGAAATTTTGAAACCAAAATTAAATTAATATTGAGAAAAAAATAAAATTGAAAAATTGTAAAATATAAGACTATAATTAGTTAAATAGAAATCATTAAATAAAAGTGAAAATTTATAAAATTGTTGAGACAGATCATTTCATAAATATAATATATGTTTCATTGATAAGATTAGAATATAGATTACGAATAGATTCTTGTAATAAGAAAGGTTAATTGATTTTAATTGATTATACCAACATAGATACTTGAGATCAATCCATATATATCATGTTTATAAAAGATAAATAGAACAATCACATGCAAAGATCTAATGAATTGAAGAATATTTATACATATATGTATATTTCTCGATTATTTCTGAATTTATCGATATGATTTTTTCTGAAATAAGTTTGACATTTATTGAAAATGCTTTTATCATTTTTATTGTGATCGTTTCAAAAATCAATATTATATCATTTATTCTTTAATCTTTTTATTTATGAATTCTTTGTTTTCAATAAATTATGAAGATTCGCGTAAATTTAAACAATATTAAATAATCAATATAAATATCAAAATAATAATAAATATCTCTAAATATTTTTTTATTAAGACTTCATTTTTGAGTAAATTTAAAAATTTTTCAAATATTAACGAAATTGACTAATTTCCGATTAGATATGAATAAATTATAATCATATTGGAGACGAGCTAGGTTACATTAAGTTAGGTTAGGTTATATTTTTTTGTAATTTCATTTTTATATCGATATAAATTTTAAAAAGACAATTTAGTATAAAATTAAAATTTGTTATAAAAAATAAACTAAGTAATTATAAGAATCATTTAGTTCGTAAACACGACAACACAGAAATCTAAATTTTTATTATTAAGCTGAAATGGATCATCTTAAAGAAATGATGAATATATGGTTAAAATCGAAACTGTTGCACACTATGGGACGATTGATTACCGATTCAGATAGAATTTGCTGGTCTCGAAAGTGTCATTGGCTTAAGATAGCGAAACGACTTCGTAGTCACGAGAAAGCAGTTTATAATGTTACTTAATACCATCGCGTTAACGAAAACCACGGTTGCTTGGAGGTTAAAGGAAACTATATATGATGCTCGTCCAATAGAGCTAGCGTTTCTTTTACGATTTCCATGGATTTTGTCACCGTGTGTTTGGAAATTCAGTGCCGTTTGCAATAATGTTTCGAATTCGCGAATCTGTATCGGCCCAAATGTAAAACTACCGACGTAAAAGAGTTACTGACCATCTGAATACAGTATCCAATAAACTTTTAGTGAGGTTAACTATGATTCGTAAATATATAAGCTCGACTTATAGTGTTAATTTTGAGTAAACTGTGGTGTGACAAGTGTTTGTATGAATCGTTGTAAACAAAAGTGGAATTATAGGGCAATTTGTACAAAAATTTTATCGTGACAGATATATACGATTGAAAATCCTGGTGAACAAAGCAAAATAAAAATGTTGTCTACAGTATCCAGTATCCCACTCGAATTGAATTCTTCATATTATACAACTGTTACCGGGAACAATGGTCTCGATGCATTATCGGGTATGCTCATATGTCATATTTAATTTTATTATTTTTTGTATTGGGTTATTGAACAAAAATACATGTTAAAATAAAAAGGTATGAAAGAAGCTATGCTATTCAATGATGAACATATTTTCGTTATCGAGAATTATGTCAAAAGATAGATGGATTTAATAATCATTTTAATCGAAACATAATAATATTATTTTATGAAAACTAAAATTTTTTTTATCTATGAATAAAAAAAGAATATTTATTAAATTATCTAGAAAATATAAATTTATCTAAAAAATATCAATATATGTAAAAGTTTTCAAGTAGTTTTCTATCTATTTAATCTAGTCAAAAATAAATAATAACATTTCAGTGATTGAGTCTAGAAATGCGACAGATCTTTACATGTTACCGCCTTACATTCGCAATACATCTATGATTACCTGTATTATAGTGATGGTTCTTGGCATAATTGGAAATCTTATGGTAAGTTTTCTATTGATCGAGTTTACCTATCTCTTGTTACTTATTTTCCAATAATGTTTATAAGAATTTAATATAAAATGCTATACATGAAATTTTCAAAATTAATTTATTCCAAATTTTTGTTTCCGATGAAAATAAGAATAATTTTCCATAAAATCACATTATATATTTATTTCAAAAATATCTTTTTACGTTATCTTTTTACAATGTTTTAGCATTTTTCAATATATCTTGTATATTTCATATCGTGCATTTCATGTTCGAATATCAAAAATACCAATATTGACAACTTTTTTCTCAGGTACCAATCGTCGTGTTTCGAGGTAAAGATATGCGGAATAGCACGAATATTTTTCTGGTGAATTTGAGTGTAGCGGATCTCTGCGTTCTCTTGATCTGTACACCAACCATTCTTGTTGAGGTGAATTCTGGACCAGAAATCTGGCCGCTTGGTGAACATATGTGTAAGTTAATAATCTATTTGTTTTATTCATGACATTTATTTCATTTATATAGCCATTATTATAGCCATTATGTTTGATTATTAAATATATAAAGATAAAAATAAATATTCAAACAAAAAGCAGCAATGAAAAATTTTGAATATAAAATATTGAATTTTTTTTTAATTTAATAGAAAAAAGAATTTTTGTCTGATAAATCCTATAAAAATATAAATCGTATATATCGAATATAACTAGTTTAAGATGTTAAATGAACTATGTGATTATTTCATTGCTAATATTGGTTTTTGAGGTTATAGAAATTAGTTATAGGAACAAATAATATATTCATATCATAATTATGTAATTGTTTTTAATTATGCAATTTAATTACGCAAAATAATGAAAAATACTTTAAAAAAGTGTTATTATATACTTTTAAGAAATGTTTTATTAGATAGAAATTAATGTGACATTTCATTTTTTAATCGTAATCATTGATCTATATATAAACAAGAATGTATCAGTTCTCTAAAAATTTTAAAGAGAGTTGATTTAATGAATATAGATGAGAGTTGATAATGAATATATCGATAATTCGCATAATATTCGCAGACATAATTTGATTTACAACGATAATTTGAATTTGTGTAACGGCATAAAATTTTAGATAAAATTATTAATAGTGCGACTTTGCAATTAATTTACTACAAATAGGATACTGCAATTCGCTTCTATTAAACTGTTTGAATTTCATTGGCTACGAATGAGAGAATCTATGCTATCCTTAATTCAATTCTAACGATGGTCAGTCTAGCACAATTTCGTTGGATATCGGCCAAGATAATGTAGCCACTTGAAAATATTTCATTATTGTTGGCAAGTGAAGTGCAAAAGTTTTCTGTGATACATTAGAAAGCGGAAAGAAATTAGGAATCATAATGGATCTTCTAATAATATGAATTTTTTTAGAAGATTAAGAAAGTATTGAATAAATTTTTTTTAAATATTTTAAAATAAAATATTTCTATGGAAAATTAATATAAATATTATATAAATATTGCATAATTTATATTATCTAAATATTTTAATAAATAAAAATAATTAAAGTATGGAAAATAATAGCAGCGAATATATAATATAATATATAATATAATAGTTATAATTAATTATTGAATTATTCAAGTTACAATTAATATTATATATATATATCGAATTTGATAATGAGGAAATCCATTAATTATTGTATTCGTGATAAATATTGATAATTAATATTACATTTTAAATATTTTAAGTATTGAAACGGTAAATGAATTACAAAAAGCGTGAAATTTAGACATGCAAAAATTAGTAGAAATGTGAAATAAATTTAGCTTTAGCTTGAAAATATAATATATCATGAAAATATAACTTCAAATTATTAAAAGTGGAATGCTCTTAATATTAATACAGTCATATTGCAAGTTCTTTTAAATTAATGGAATAAATTTAATAGTGAGAATAATATAAATCTAAAATAATAGCAATTAAGAAATAATTAATTATTCTATTTTGTACGTTTTCATTAACGATTTTAATATTGTACATACTTTACAAACTGATATATTATATTGTGATACTGAAGAGAAATAGTTTTTGTATGTTAAGTACATTAATAAATTCATGATATAAAATATTATCTTTTTTTAAAATCGAATATATTTCTCGGGGAATACATTATATCGGCGAATTGATGAAGCATATTTACAATAATAATTTAATCACCAACTTTTTCTACAGTATAACAATTTATATACCATAAATCAAGAAAATAATAAATCATTTTGATCGTCCTTTGATAATAAAGTAATAATTATGAATAATAATATACTTATCTAGCTTATCTACTATTGAGTTAAAAATGGAAAATTATCAAACATTGCAATATTTAAATCGTCAAGCAAATTCTTTATTATCTATTATTTGATCGATAAATTCAAATAGATAATTCATTTCTATATCTTGATATTTCATATCAAGAATTGCGTTTGAATCTTTATATAATGATAATATTTATATCAATAGAATAGATATCATTATAATTATTATACGAAGTTTTGTTTTAGAATTTTTATTTCTAAAATTTGAATATTATTTATAAAAAATTTGATTTCTTTTAACTAAATTTTTAATTAAACTTAAAAATATCATATGTTTTCGAAATATACCTTACTTAGGTATATATGCTAGAATTCAAAACCAAACTTGATACAAATTAATTACATTACAAGTAATACTAAATTAATAATAATCAAAATTCAGGAATATTTATTAAAATTGAATTTATAAGTATATATTGAACTTGATCTTCATTTCTTTATTATATGGGAAATGAATGCATAAAATATATTCGTGGAATATTTTTGAAAAATCGATTTTAAAAGCTAAAACAAACATAAAAGTTGATATTCAAAAATATCGCTTGAGGCTTATTTATTAAATCATAAGCAATTTAAGTTAAGTGAAGTGAGATGCGAACAGAATGCGATGTAACGAAAATAGATCGATCTTACTCTATCTCGTTTTATCTGACGTAAACTTCAGTTACTTATAATTTAATAAATTTTAACCGATATTTTTGTATAACAATTTTTGCATTTGTTTTAATTTTTAATCGATACTTCAAAAATATCTCAAGAATATATTAATATCGTATAATGCCGTTAAAATATCTAAGTCAATTAAAAACTTAAAATATGCGAATGTACTTTCTTCATCCGAGCATGCGTGCATATGTAAACAAGTTAATTAGGTGCGAAGTGCTTCACGTTCAAAACGAATCGCATTAACGCCATCTTTGCCCAGCAAAACCGAACGGTTGCTTTTATCTAGAGTGCACGGTCATTCTGGTGTTGTGTTTCTTGTGAAATTCTTACGAATATACGAAAAGTGTCTGACCTCGTTTTCTATAGGAACGACCAGAAGAAAAGCACGAACACTTTTAAGGAGAATCGGAACATATATGAGCATATCTTTGGTAAATACATACTTGTGATCTTTCAAAATTTGAAATTAGAAAAATTTGTCGTTCCTGGTGTTTTGCCCATTTTTAAAAGAAAGTGTTTTATATCTAGATATAACCTATTTTTAGAATTATTAGAATTTTTTATATGATTTACATATCTGTAGCTATTTTCACAATCTTATGCATTAATGAAAATTTTTTGCATAATAAATTTCATATTGAAATTTCATATTCTTTTATTATGTAACATTATTTTGTCATGTAACATTAAAAAAGAATTTTATACGTTTCTATTTATTCTGAAGAACACAGCGACGAAAAACAACACTGGAAAGACAAGATTGGAAAGCTTAAAAAATTCATGCAATTCTTGATCAAATGAATGAAATATAGAAAACTGTGAAACTTTTTCTTGCAGATAAACTTTTTTATTTTTATTTGCAAAACTGTATTCTATTTTATTAAGATTGATAATAATAATTAGATTAGAAGAGAAATCAAATTAAAATAAGAATTCAATTATTTGATATATTGACGTGAAAATAAGCATTCCAATTGTTTATAATATTTCATTTTTTTCTTTTATACTTAATTTTATAATTTTTTAATTGTATAATTTTTTAAATTTGTTTATGTATGTATTTTGTGCCAAAATATGTTAATAGTAGAAATTAATGCATGCAAATATTATAATTTTGACAAATCAAGATATACAAATCCAAGATTATTTTATTAATTTAAATTATTTTATTAATTTATAATTTTATTAATTTAATTAATTTTATTTATAATATATATATATATATTTTTATAATTTTATTAATTTAAAAAAAAAGAAAAAATTTGAAAATTCAAATATGTTTATTATTATTAATTATCAATTTGATAATGTTTAAATTTTATATCTGGATATATTTTAGTTTATTATTTTATAATTTGTCTGTACATATATATTCTATTTATTTGATAGTATATTATTACTTGTACAGTTAATGTTAATCAGAAAACATTTGAAATGGATCAAATTATTCTTTATT